ATACTATACTATACTATACTATACTATACTATACTATACTATACTATTCTATATAGAGAGCATATAATATGAAAGGGGTTTCTAAATTTTCTGGTTTAGACCAGCACCCTCAGACTCTCTGTAACAAGAGTCATTAGGTCATATTTACCATGATCACATCCTCACCAAAAATGTGCAAAGCTGGACCTGACTACCCACTGTCCTCCTGGAATGTTGGATTCAAAGCTGTTGGGGTGAGATTCCGGCAAACAGCTCCAATTCCTCTGGCACACTCTAATTAGAAAACCCCCTGGGAAATCAGCCGGGGGAGCCGGTGTGGACGGGATTGACAGCGGCCCTCATGTTGTCTTCTGAAAAGCATGGGAATGCAGAGGCCTCCTGACAAGGAGGATGTTTAAGTTCAGCGCGTGCAAGACTTGTCCCATCAAGTGAAAACAATTGGCCGGTTCTAGCACCAATTCATCAAAGTGACAGGGCTTGGCCACATGGAAATGAATGAATAAACAAAAGGTAACACTTTCTGTTCGGAGATAAAAAGAAGCCTGCTGAGTGGACACCTTCATAGAGAACTGTCACAATGTGTATTATTCAGCCCTTGCCTGCAAAAAAAAAAAAGTCCACCAACACAAAAACACTTCCATAAATCCATTAAAAATGGATGTTTGATGATATAAAAAATATTATCTTCATAACGCTCTTCATGTCTTATTGAAGGTGGTGGGACTCTGGAGAAATGATACCTTCAAACATCAACAGATCCTTAGTGATTTTGACTGTTAGAAGTATATTGATGGACCCCATGTTGATACTAAAAAGAATAAAAGTATTAGTTCATCCCTTAGCGTCACACTGTTGATCATCATCACGGTCTGTTGCAGCTGAGTTGCCATGGTTACCCGTAAGCTTCTGTTCTGACCTATAAGGATCTGCCCATAATGCCCCATAAGGAATCCTGCATGAGGTATTCACTTGGCCTCATAGGTCTCATGTATGGAGGCGGGGTGGGGGGAGGGGCTGAGGTTGTACCATAGACACAATGGGGTCGCTTCACCTCATAATTTTCCCTTTTATCTTTAGAATGAAGAAATGTGGGGAAATGAGTGAGAGAGCTATACTTTTCAGTTGAAATGTAGGCAAGTAGTTCAGTTTTAATTTCTGAATGGTCAATTCCACTGGAAAAACACTGTATGGATACATGTCCATTTACCATGTACCAATTTTTGTATGTGATGAGAGGAGAGAAAATGGTACAATTCAGGAAAAATC